TGAAGGCCTACTATGTGCAAGGCTTTATCCCCCTGATTCCCAGTCTTTACAACAATCCTAATCTTATGCTTCACCTTGATAATACCAACAATGATAGCTGCCACAGAAAACTTGCTATGTGACAGGCATTATTCGAAGTGTTTCACACTTATTAACTCATCCCATTCTCACAAGAGTCCTTTGTGGAATGAACTATTATTATTCCCATTTTTCAGATAGGACAACTGAGGCATCACCACCCTACATGCCTTGCCCAGAGGCATTCATCTAAGAGTGGCAAGATTGGAACCCAGACAATCTGACTTCAGAGTCCATGTTCATCACTACCAGGTCATGCTACTTTGCACAGGTGAAGGACTGAGGCTCGAGTGGTTGGGCAAGTTGTCCTGAGTCATTCAGCCAGGAAGGGCAGACCCAAGTCCACTGACTCCTGGGCCAAAGTCCTGTTCACAACCTCCACTCACGAACCAGCAAAATAGAAGTTCTAATAAAAAACCTTCTCCCTAAAATCTTTTCTCCTAGTCCCTCTACTTCTCCCCAGCTGGAACTAATTAGCCTTACTTCTGCTAAGCATTCAGAGAAATATACTGGAAACTGGTCCCTCTCTGTTGCTCTCTTGGTGGCTTGCCTCATGTTACAGTTACTCTTGTACACAGCTTGTCTCCCCACTAGGTTGTGAGTTTCTTAAGGACAGGACCCTGGTTGATTAGGCTTGGGGCCCTCCTGTGGCAAGTCCCCAGTCACACACCTGCTGAGGGGTTTGGTCACTATTTCTCAAATCCATCTGTGCACGGTGGCCTGGTTGCTCAGTTGGGCCAGGCAACCCAGGCTGGGACAGGGAGTTAGGTTTTACTTCCCCTTGCCACCATGAGGACATGTGACCTTCACCTCCATCAGAGAGCAAAAGTTCCCCTCTCCCAGCCCATTTCCCCCAGCCCCCAACCCCCATCCAGCATGGCACATTTTTCCCTTGCAAACAAGCTGAGGCAGGGCAGACCACAAGGGACCTAGTTGTCACCGCATATTTACTCAGGGGAGCCTCAGTCACAGGGCACATCCCAGTTGGGTTTGCACGTGACAGTCATCTAGAAATCCATCTACCAAGCTGCCTCTGGACAATGGGTATCTGCAACTAACCCGAGATTGTCATCATTTGTGTCGGAGTCTGCAGAGTGAGGAAGCCTAGGCCTTTCCTGTGGCTGTGCCATTCGCAAGGCAACTAGGACGTGGTTTAAGATGGGTCACACAGGCCCTGGGACACCTGGCCTCGGAAGGCAACTTACCCCGAGCCTCAGCCTCCTCATCTATAAGTGGCAACAGTAGTGTTTGTGCCCCTGCATCAGATGTGGATGGCACCCAGCACCCTGCCCAGCACCTAATAAGCGCCTGAAACACTTTTTAAAGTTTATTTTGTTTTTAATCAAGGACCAAATATGATTTCCTTTTCTGCATCTTTTTGACCACGCAGGGTGATGCCAGTGTTGTGGGGCATCTTTCAACTATGTTGATTGGAAAAGACAATTGCACCTTCCTAATCACTAAGCCAGATTCTAATATTGTGTAAAATGTTTAACTTTTAATAGTCACTTATTTAATATCAGGAAGCGAGGAAATAGTGCATGAAGAGTCCTGGAAGAATTATCAGTAAAAATAATAACCTACAATGTATTAAATATTAAATGTTGTTTGTTGCTGCTATGTGCCAGGCAGGCCAGGGGCACTAATCCTCACAGTTCGTCCCCAGAGCTGCTATGTAAGGTCAGTGTCACTCTCCTCATGCACAGGGTGGGAACTAGACCTCACAGGCAAAATCCTCCACCAAGGTTGCCCATCTAGTAAGTGGTGAAGCCGAAGTTCCAACCCACATCCACCTGGTTGTGCTTACTTTGCATGAACATGACATTCTGATATAAACAACAAGTTGTGTCCGTGTCCCCAGGCAATTCCCTCATTTGGGCAGATTTAGCATACACTGTACCCAAGGGATATTCCACCACCTGAACTAAACAGCATGGCCCCAGGCGAGAGTTTTCCTTCTCTTTTCCCTTGGCCCTCCCACTCCTTCCTGGCTCTTCCTGCCATCAAAAGCACGTATTAGTGATGATAATAAGAGGTCACTATGTTCAGGCCCTGGACTACACCTTGCAGGTGTCAGGGAACGGTCAGTGGGATGCTTCTTGTTGTCTTGGGGTTTAGACAGTGGGTTAAAGTGCCCACACATTTCAAAGAGAGCAGAGCTAGGAGAGGTTTAGGGGATTGGGGTGGAGTCAGGGTGAAGAGGGGGTTGTGGGCAAAGAGACTAGTACCTGATTCTGACCCAAGGAAATTCACAGATAGGGGTTCAGCTGAAACAGGTTGCTTGGCAGAGAGAGGAGGGAGGCCCCAGTAGGACAGGTCTGTGCCCTCGATATTGGTGACACCAAGTTGATGCCACAGAAATGAGGCACAAGAGAACCACCAAGAGGGCAGCCAAGGTACAAGCCACAGCTCAGCAGAAGTGTGCCATGCCAAGGGCCAATGACAGGCAGAGGTGCCGCCAGGCGGGTAGGGAGGGCACTCTAGGAAGAACTCACAAAAAGTTCCCACAAAGAAAGAGTGGGCCAGAATGGGAGCGTTTGCTATAATAAGGGCATCCAAGACCAAAAGGGACTACAACAGCCCCAGCAGAATAACAGTACCCTCGGCCTTCTTTTCTAGCCCCCAAACCCTTTAGGAAGCAGTCTGGTAAAGCTGGAAGCATCCATGGAAGTCGGAAGAAGCGGCAGAAGGAAGGCACCCACTGACCGCCAGCCCCTTCCCCACTACTTGCCTGCAGGTCCCAGCAAGATGGTGCCTGGGAGAGAGACAGAGGCTTTGCCTTCACAAAAGCGAGTCTCTTCTATGACCAAAAGCAACGAGAAAAGCTCTAGAATCTGCTGAGATCTTTGTCAGAGGATGAGGGAAGTGGGACAGCCAGGAGGGTGAGTTGGAAGACAGGTGGATAAAAATAGTGGTTTTCACAATTGCCCTTTGCAAATGTTCGGCCCAATGATAAAACAGCCACACATATTTTCCACTCGATCCTAAGATGGGAACTGAGGGTCAGAGGCCAAGTGTGCGCCCGGTGAGCATACGGCCACAGACTCAAACCCAGGTGCGTGATGTCACACTTCTGCCATCCCCGGTAGGACATAACTGATCTCTACGGCACCTACCGTGTGTGTGGGAGCACAGGAACCTCCTTCCCAGACAACAGAACTAAAAAGGCCGACTTCTCTGCTCACTCCTACCATCCCACCCCA